GTCTAGTCTATAGTTAGTCTATAGTCTCGTTCTATAGTCTAGTCTATAGTTAGTCTATAGTCTAGTCTATAGTCTAGTCTATAGTCTAGTCTATAGTCTAGTCTATAGTCTAGTCTATAGTCTAGTCTATAGTCTAGTCTATAGTCTAGTCTATGGTCTATTGTCTAGTCAAGTCTAGTCATATTGTTAGTCTAATAGTCTTAGTCTATTAGTCTAGTCAATAGTCTAGTCTATAGTCTAGTCTATTAGTTCAGTCTATAGTTCTAGTCTATAGTCTAGTCTATATTCTAGTCTATAGTCTAGTCTATAGTCCTAGTCTATAGTCTAGTCTATTAGTCTTAGTCTATAGTCTAGTCTATAGTCTAGTCTATAGTCTAGTCATAGTCTTAGTCTATAGTCTAGTCTATAGTCTAGTCTATTAGGCCTATGTCTAGTCTATAGTCTAGTCTATCTTTCTAGTCTATAGTTCTAGTCTATAGTCTAGTCTATAGTCTAGGTCTATAGTCTAGTCTCTAGTCGACAGTCTAGTCTAGTCTATAGTCTAGTCTATAGTCTAGTCTATAGTCTAGTCTATAGTCTAGTCTGTAGTCTAGTCTATAGTCTAGTTCTATAGTCTAGTCTAATAGTCTAGTCTATAGTCTAGTCTATAGTCTAGTCTATAGTCTAGTCTATAGTCTAGTCTATAGTCTAGTCTATAGTCTAGTCTATAGTCTAGTCTATAGTCTAGTCTATAGTCTAGTCTATAGTCTAGTCTATAGTCTAGTCTATAGTCTAGTCTATTGTCTATCATAGTCTATCTATAGTCTAGTCTATAGTCTAGTCTATAGTCTAGTCTATAGTCTAGTCTATATCTAGTCTATAGTCTAGTCTATAGTCTATCTATAGTCTAGTCTACAGTCTAGTCTATAGTCTAGTCTATAGTCTAGTCTATAGTCTAGTCTATAGTCTAGTCTATAGTCTAGTCTATAGTCTAGTCTATAGTCTAGTCTATAGTCTAGTCTATAGTCTAGTCTATAGTCTAGTCTATAGTCTAGTCTATAGTCTAGTCTATAGTCTAGTCTATAGTCAGTCTATGTCTAGTACTAGTCTAGTCTATAGTCTAGTCTATAGTCTAGTCTATAGTCTAGTCCTCGTCTATCTATAGTCTAGTCTATAGTCTAGTCTATAGTCTAGTCTATAGTCTAGTCTATTCTAGTCTATAGTCTAGTCTATAGTCTAGTCTATAGTCGAGTCTATAGTCTAGTCTATAGTCTAGTCTATAGTCTATCTATAGTCCTAGTCTATAATCTAGTCTTAGTCTAGTCTATAGTCTAGTCTATAGTCTAGTCTATAGTCTAGTCTATAGTCTAATCTATAGTCTAGTCTATAGTTTAGTCTATAGTCTAGTCTATAGTCTAGTCTATAGTCTAGTCTATAGTCTAGTCTATAGTCTAGTCTATGTCTAGTCCATAGTCTATCTTAAGTCTAGTCTATAGTCTAGTCTATATCTTGTCTAGTCTAGTCTATACTTTTATTTTATGTTCCTCTTAGGCGTATGATTGTTGTGCTTATATTAATTAATAATAAAGTTCCGCCACATAAACACTGTTCTTAATTATAGCAATTTCCTGAAGCGTATGAGTGTTCGAATAATTAAATAGAAAATTACGTATACGCCTCATTTAACACAATTTTAATAATATAGTTGAAACTGAAATAAAATATAGAAAATCCTGGTGGTTTATAATTTAGTTTCTTTTGTAAGATGATACTTTTTTCTCTAAACATTGTGTCTTTTATTTCTAATATTTGTAGTAGCATTCTTTTAGGTTTAATTGTTTGCTCAACTGTTGTTAGTTTTTTTCTTTAATTCTTTTTTATATCTTCCACATTCTCGACTTAATTGTCAAATCATTTATTTCAATTATTTTATTATAGCTTTTAATGTTTGTCTTGTCAATTAGTAATTTTATTTTATTTTTTATTCGACAAAAGTTTTCAGTTCGCTTTTTCAAATCTAATTAGCGCATTTAATCTAAAAGAAAAACTATAATGTTTTTGAAGACTATAAAACTTACGCTTGGAAAATCATTTAATTAAGTAGATGACGATGAAATGAGACACAAAAAAATGTTATGAGAAGGAAAAACAATAATGAAAAATGGCAAAACAAGGCGGATCTTTAAAAGGTGTTATTTGCCGGAAAAGTTAAATAAATTGGTCATTAGGTTTGTTGGTTTCAAAAGAACAGGAATTGATTTTTTTACATAATAATGAACAATTTTGAATTAATATTAACTCTGTCCCCTCCTCTTTCCCACTGCCTTTTAATAACCGATACTATACAAGTTAATCTCTAAGAAAAGCTGCACAAAAAATTTTAATTTACAACATGTACTTGTATATTAGTGGTTATTTTGTTGTTATTTTAGTCCTGCTGTTAGTTATAGTGATTATTTTTTTCTCTGCAGCTAAAAAACCATTCAACATTTTAAACTGGTCATTAGAAAAGCGTCCTTTAAGGCGACTAACGAAGCGTTTAAATTTTATGTTTTGTATTTTGCTTCTAAGCATGAAAAAAACAAGTTGTAACAAGTTTAAGTTTAATTTTGTTTAATTTTATTTCTTTTCGTTTTAGAAAATTTATACCAAAGGAGCTTCGGCGGGTAAGTGAGAATGAATAGAAAACTAAATGAAAACATATTCTAGGTTATAAAGAAAGTTTTTGAAATCGAAAAACAAGTTTGAGGGGATTTATGATGGAAATAATAATTTCTTTTAAATAATGAACAGAAGTAGAACAGAACTAGAACAGAACTAGAACAGAACTAGAACAGAACAGAACTAGAACAGAACTAGAACAGAATTAGAACAGATTAGAACAGAACTAAACAGAACTAGAACAGAATTAGAACAGAACTAGAACAGAACTGGAACAGAACTAGAACAGAACTAGAACAGAACTAGAACAGAACTAGAACAGAACTAGAACAGAACTAGAACAGAACTAGAACAGAACTAGAACAGAACTAGAACAGAACTAGAACAGAACTAGAACAGAACTAGAACAGAACTAGAACAGAACTAGAACAGAACTAGAACAGAACCAGAGCAAAACTAGAACAGAACTAGAATAGAACAGAACTAGAATAGAACAGAACTAGAATAGAACAGAACTAGAATAGAACAGAACTAGAACAGAACAGAACTAGAATAGAACAAAACTAGACACTAGAACAGAACTAGAACAGAACTAGAACAGAACTAGAACAGAACTAGAACAGAACTAGAACAGAACTAGAACAGAACTAGAACAGAACTAGAACAGAACTAGAACAGAACTAGAACAGAACTAAACAGAACTAGAACAGAACTAGAACAGAACTAGAACAGAACTAGAACAGAACTAGAACAGAACTAGAACAGAACTAGAACAGAACTAGAACAGAACTAGAACAGAACTAGAACAGAACTAGAACAAACTAGAACAGAACTAGAACAGAACTAGAACAGAACTAGAGAGAACTAGAAGAGAACTAGAACAGAACTAGAACAGAACTAGAACAGAACTAGAACAGAACTAGAACAGAACTAGAACAAACTAGAACAGAACTAGAACAGAACTAGAACAGAACTAGAAGAGAACTAGAAGAGAACTAAACAGAACTAAACAGAACTAGAACAGAACTAGAACAGAACTAGAACAGAACTAGAACAGAACTAGAACAGAACTAGAACAGAACTAGAACAGAACTAGAACAGAACTAGAACAGAACTAGAACAGAACTAGAACAGAACTAGAACAGAACTAGAACAGAACTAGAACAGAACTAGAACAGAACTAGAACAGAACTAGAACAGAACTAGAACAGAACTAGAACAGAACTAGAACAGAACTAGAACAGAACTAGAACAGAACTAGAACAGAACTAGAACAGAACTAGAACAGAACTAGAACAGAACTAGAACAGACTAGAACGAACTAGAACAGAACTAGAACAGAACTAGAACAGAACTAGAACAGAACTAGAACAGAATAGAACAGAACTAGAACAGAACTAGAACAGAACTAGAACAGAACTAGAACAGAACTAGAACAGAACTAGAAAGAACTAGAACAGAACTAGAACAGAACTAGAACAGAACTAGAACAGAACTAGAACAGAACTAGAACAGAACTAGAACAGAACTAGAACAGAACTAGAACAGAACTAGAACAGAACTAGAACAGAACTAGAACAGAACTAGAACAGAACTAGAACAGAACTAGAACAGAACTAGAACAGAACTAGAACAGAACTAGAACAGAACTAGAACAGAACTAGAACAGAACTAGAACAGAACTAGAACAGAACTAGAACAGAACTAGAACAGAACTAGAACAGAACTAGAACAGAACTAGAACAGAACTAGAACAGAACTAGAACAGAACTAGAACAGAACTAGAACAGAACTAGAACAGAACTAGAACAGAACTAGAACAGAACTAGAACAGAACTAGAACAGAACTAGAACAGAACTAGAACAGAACTAGAACAGAACTAGAACAGAACTAGAACAGAACTAGAACAGAACTAGAACAGAAAGAACAGACTAGAACAGAACTAGAACAGAACTAGAACAGAACTAGAACAGAACTAGAAAGAACTAGAACAGAACTAGAACAGAACTAGAACAGAACTAGAACAGAACTAGAACAGACTAGAACAGAACTAGAACAGAACTAGAACAGAACTAGAACAGAACTAGAACAGAACTAGAACAGAACTAGAACAGAACTAGAACAGAACTAGAACAGAACTAGAGCTGAACTAGAACTTTATTGGAACTGAACTAGAACTAAACTAAATTAGAACTGAACTAAGGGAGAACTAGAGCACAATTCCGTTAAAGCTAGAAGTAAGCTAGAGTTTTTCACAAAAAATTTTTTAAATATTTGAAAAAAAATATTAAACTATTTTTAGTTATGCTTAACTATTAAGTTTATAATCTAGTGTTATATAAAAAAAAACATAATTTACCTCATCATCATATTGTCCTGTTCAGGCATGTCGTCTGTATTTTTCTCAATTTTGTTGGCTTAAATAAAACTGCAAATTAACGAAAAAATGATAATAATTTTCCTCAAAAAAGAAGAAAATTAAAGCGATTTTTTACTTTAAATTTTTGTCAAAGTTTTTGCACACTAAACTTCATGCGTTTTGCTGTTGTCGGCGACGTTTTAAATTTTCTAAAATTTTAAGGATTTCAATTTAACACTTTGTTGTTTTTTAGTTGTTTGCATGTGTATATGTATTTGTAGAATATGTCGTTGCTTTTTTTGGTTAGAAAGAAGACCTTGTACTTGTAACCTTTCTTGGTAAAAAAAAAAACGTTTCTAGTCAAGTGTCTTCTCTACCTTGTAGTAATTAAAGTAGTTTTTTAGTTTTGTCTATACGTTTGTTTTTCTTTTTTAGTTTTTGTTTGAAGGTTTTTTATTTTGCTTTAAGAAACAAGTTGCAAACACTTATTAAAATGTAAGAAAAAAGATCTCACAAAGACACTAGTCTGCTGCAGCTGTTGACTACTGTAACATTAATGTGTTTGTCACTGTAGTTTCTGTCATAGTAAATGCTGTCGACATCATTATCTTGTTGGTAATTACTGCGTTAATTGCTGTTGCTGCTCTTGCAGTTGCAACGTTTTAGTATATTCATTAACATATTTCAGGGGGCACAACATACACTTTAATTACTGTCTCAACTATGTTGCTGCTCAATGTTAAGTAATGTAGTGGTTTATAGCAGCAGCAGCCGTTTCCATAACCTTGACTTTCTAATTGAAGTGTTTTTTCTTTTCGTTTTTTGTTCGTGTTTTATGATTTTTAAGAAATATGTATGCTGCTAGGACTTTTTTAAATTTTTCGTTTCAAACTGCAATTAAAGCTGAGACTTTTACACAAGACAGAACTAATTTTTTATTAGTTGTTTTTTTGTTACCAATATTTTTATGTTTTGGATTTTTCAAAATCCATTAAAAACCAATTATTGCCATTTTCAAGTCATCACCATGCTAATTATTCAATTTTGTTTTTTTTTTCTGGTGGTATGTATGTTGTAAGTAATTTATGTTCTAGTTCCGTTCTAGCTCTGTTCTAGTTCTGTTCTAGTTCTGTTCTAGTTCTGTTCTAGTTTTGTTCTAGTTTTGTTCTAGTTTTGTTCTAGTTCTGTTCTAGTTCTGTTCTAGTTCTGTTCTAGTTCTGTTCTAGTTCTGTTCTAGATCTGTTCTAGTTCTGTTCTAGTTCTGTTCTGTTCTAGTTCTGTTCTAGTTTGTTCTAGTTCTGTTCTAGTTCTGTTCTAGTTCTGTTCTGTTCTTTCTAGTTCTAGTTCTGTCTAGTTCTGTTCTAGTTCTGTTCTAGTTCTGTTCTAGTTCTGTTCTAGTTCTGTTCTAGTTCTGTTCTAGTTCTGTTCTAGTTCTGTTCTAGTTCTGTTCTAGTTCTGTTCTAGTTCTGTTCTAGTTTGTTCTAGTTCTGTTCTAGTTCTGTTCTAGTTCTGTTCTAGTTCTTTCTAGTTCTGATCTAGTTCTGTTCTAGTTCTGTTCTAGTTCTGTTCTAGTTCTGTTCTAGTTCTGTTCTAGTTCTGTTCTAGTTCTGTTCTAGTTCTGTTCTAGTTCAGTTCTAGTTCTGTTCTAGTTCTGTTCTAGTTCTGTTCTAGTTCTGTTCTAGTTGTGTTCTAGTTCTGTTCTAGTTCTGTTTAGTTCTGTTCTAGTTCTGTTCTAGTTCTGTTTTTAGTTCTGTTCTAGTTCTGTTCTAGTTCTGTTCTAGTTCTGTCTAGTTCTGTTCTAGTTCTGTTCTAGTTCTGTTCTAGTTCTGTTCTAGTTCTGTTTATGTTCTGTTTCTAGTTCTGTTCTAGTTCTGTTCTAGTTCTGTTCTAGTTCTGTTCTAGTTCTGTTCTAGTTCTGTTCTAGTTCTGTTCTAGTTCTGTTCTAGTTCTGTTCTAGTTCTGTTCTAGTTCTGTTCTAGTTCTGTTCTAGTTCTGTTCTAGTTCTGTTCTAGTTCTGTTCTAGTTTGTTCTAGTTCTGTTCTAGTTCTGTTCTAGTTCTGTTCTAGTTCTGTTCTAGTTCTGTTCTAGTTCTGTTCTAGTTCTGTTCTAGTTCTGTTCTAGTTCTGTTCTAGTTCTGTTCTAGTTCTGTTCTAGTTCTGTTCTAGTTCTGTTCTAGTTCTGTTCTAGTTCTGTTCTAGTTCTGTTCTAGTTCTGTTCTAGTTCTGTTCTAGTTCTGTTCTGTTCTAGTTCTGTTCTAGTTCTGTTCTTCTAGTTCTGTTCTAGTTCTGTTCTAGTTCTGTTCTAGTTCTGTATAGTTCTGTTCTAGTTCTGTTCTAGTTCTGTTCTAGTTCTGTTCTAGTTCTGTTCTAGTTCTGTTCTAGTTCTGTTCTAGTTCTGTTCTAGTTCTGTTCTAGTCTGTTCTAGTTCTGTTCTAGTTCTGTTCTAGTTCTGTTCTGTTCAGTTCTAGTTCTGTTCTACTGTTCTAGTTCTGTTCTAGTTCTGTTCTAGTTCTGTTCTAGTTCTGTTCTAGTTCTGTTCTAGTTCTGTTCTAGTTCTGTTCTAGTTCTGTTCTAGTTCTGTTCTAGTTCTGTTCTAGTTCTGTTCTAGTTCTGTTCTAGTTCTGTTCTAGTTCTGTTCTAGTTCTGTTCTAGTTCTGTTCTAGTTCTGTTCTAGTTCTGTTCTAGTTCTGTTCTAGTTCTGTTCTAGTTCTGTTCTAGTTCTGTTCTAGTTCTGTTCTAGTTCTGTTCTAGTTCTGTTCTGTTCTAGTTCTGTTCTAGTTCTGTTCTAGTTCTGTTCTAGTTCTGTTCTAGTTCTGTTCTAGTTCTGTTCTAGTTCTGTTCTAGTTCTGTTCTAGTTCTGTTCTAGTTCTGTTCTAGTTCTGTTCTAGTTCTGTTCTAGTTCTGTTCTAGTTCTGTTCTAGTTCTGTTCTAGTTCTGTTCTAGTTCTGTTCTAGTTCTGTTCTAGTTCTGTTCTGTTCTAGTTCTGTTCTAGTTGTTCTAGTTCTGTTCTAGTCTGTTCTAGTTCTGTTCTAGTTCTAGTTCTGTTCTAGTTCTGTTCTAGTTCTGTTCTAGTTCTGTTCTAGTTCTGTTCTAGTTCTGTTCTAGTTCTGTTCTAGTTCTGTTCTAGTTCTGTTCTAGTTCTGTTCTAGTTCTGTTCTGTTCTAGTTCTGTTCTAGTTCTGTTCTAGTTCTGTTCTAGTTGTTCTAGTTCTGTTCTAGTTCTAGTTCTGTTCTAGTTCTAGTTCTGTTCTAGTTCTAGTTCTGTTCTAGTTCTGTTCTAGTTCTGTTCTAGTTCTGTTCTAGTTCTGTTCTAGTTCTGTTCTAGTTCTGTTCTAGTTCTGTTAGTTGTTCTAGTTCTGTTCTGTTCTAGTTCTGTTCTAGTTCTGTTCTAGTTCTGTTCTAGTTCTGTTCTAGTTCTGTTCTAGTTCTGTTCTAGTTTGTTCTAGTTCTGTTCTAGTCTGTTCTAGTTCTGTTCTAGTTCTGTTCTAGTTCTGTTCTAGTTCTGTTCTAGTTCTGTTCTAGTTCTGTTCTAGTTCTGTTCTAGTTCTGTTCTAGTTTGTTCTAGTTCTGTTCTAGTTCTGTTCTAGTTCTGTTCTAGTTCTGTTCTGTTCTAGTTCTGTTCTAGTTCTGTTCTAGTTCTGTTCTAGTTCTGTTCTAGTTCTAGTTCTGTTCAGTTCTGTTCTGTTCTAGTTCTGTTCTAGTTCTGTTCTAGTTCTGTTCTAGTTCTGTTCTAGTTCTGTTCTAGTTCTGTTCTAGTTCTGTTCTAGTTTGTTCTGTTCTAGTTCTGTTCTAGTTCTGTTCTAGTTCTGTTCTAGTTCTGTTCTAGTTCTGTTCTAGTTCTGTTCTAGTTTGTTCTAGTTCTGTTCTAGTTCTGTTCTAGTTCTGTTCTAGTTCTGTTCTAGTTCTGTTCTAGTTCTGTTCTAGTGTTCTAGTTCTAGTTCTGTTCTAGTTCTGTTCTAGTTCTGTTCTAGTTCTGTTCTAGTTCTGTTCTAGTTCTGTTCTAGTTCTGTTCTAGTTCTGTTCTAGTTCTGTTCTAGTTCTGTTCTAGTTCTGTTCTAGTTCTTTCTAGTTCTGTTCTGTTCGTCTGTTCTAGTTCTGTTCTAGTTCTGTTCTAGTTCTGTTCTAGTTCTGTTCTAGTTCTGTTCTAGTTCTGTTCTAGTTCTGTTCTAGTTCTGTTCTAGTTCTGTTCTAGTTCTGTTCTAGTTCTGTTCTAGCTGTTCTAGTTCTGTTCTAGTTCTGTTCTAGTTCTGTTCTAGTTCTGTTCTAGTTCTGTTCTAGTTCTGTTCTAGTTCTGTTCTAGTTCTGTTCTAGTTCTGTTCTAGTTCTGTTCTAGTTCTGTTCTAGTTCTGTTCTAGTTCTGTTCTAGTTCTGTTCTAGTTCTGTTCTAGTTCTGTTCTAGTTCTGTTCTAGTTCTGTTCTAGTTCTGTTCTAGTTCTGTTCTAGTTCTGTTCTAGTTTCTGTTCTAGTTCTGTTCTAGTTCTGTTCTAGTTTTCTGTCTAGTTCTGTTCTGTTCTAGTTCTGTTCTAGTTCTGTTCTAGTTCTGTTTCTAGTTCTGTTCTAGTTCTGTTCTAGTTCTGTTCTAGTTCTGTTCTAGTTCTGTTCTAGTTCTGTTCTAGTTCTGTTCTAGTTCTGTTCTAGTTCTGTTCTAGTTCTGTTTCTAGTTCTGTCTGTTCTAGTTCTGTTCTAGTTCTGTTCTAGTTCTGTTCTAGTTCTGTTCTAGTTCTGTTCTAGTTCTGTTCTAGTTCTGTTCTAGTTCTGTTCTAGTTCTGTTCTAGTTCTGTTCTAGTTCTGTTCTAGTTCTGTTCTAGTTCTGTTCTAGTTCTGTTCTAGTTCTGTTCTAGTTCTGTTCTAGTTCTGTTCTAGTTCTGTTCTAGTTCTGTTCTAGTTCTGTTCTAGTTCTGTTCTAGTTCTGTTCTAGTTCTGTTCTAGTTCTGTTCTAGTTCTGTTCTAGTTCTGTTCTAGTTCTAGTTCTGTTCTAGTTCTGTTCTAGTTCTGTTCTAGTTCTGTTCTAGTTCTGTTCTAGTTCTGTTCTAGTTCTGTTCTAGTTCTGTTCTAGTTCTGTTATAGTTCTGTTCTAGTTCTGTTCTAGTTCTGTTCTAGTTCTGTTCTAGTTCTGTTCTAGTTCTTTCCGTATTCTGTTCTAGTTCTGTTCTAGTTCTGTTCTAGTTCTGTTCTAGTTCTGTTCTAGTTCTGTTCTAGTTCTGT